GACAGCAGAGCAGAATCCATTGACAAGAAGATTTCCCGATTGGATGCTGAGCTAGTGAAGTATAAGGATCAAATAAAAAAGATGAGAGAGGGTCCTGCAAAGGTAAGGTAGTTGGCAACTGCCACATAAGATAACTGTGACAGCCTAATTTGAGCACCTGTAGAAATAGCATCTGGTTGTAGGGGCTGGTGAAGGATACAAAGAGATGCTCAGAGTCTGGTAAATAGAAAACACATGTGAAAGTATGTTCTTCAGGGAGATTTTGTGGATAGATATGAGAGGGAGGCTAGCATTTGATCTAGAGGGGAGTTGTTGATTATATGTCCAGAAGCATGTAAGTAGGAATTCACATATTCCACTGATTTATGCTGAGGATCAGTGAGTTGCCAGGTTGGTCAGGGTAAGTAGGAATAATAATCTGGTTAAGGAGTGGCATGCTGGAAAAAGGACAGAACTTGGCATGTGGGACCAATGTTCTAATACTGTCACTATTACTACCTGCTGTGATAAAGTCACTTGTTTTCTTGTGTTAGTAGGAACATAGAATATTGTGTTTAAAAGAATACCCTATGGATATAGAACTATCTGGGTTTTCTAGTTCTATAACTTATTAATTAGGTAAACCAGGGCATCACTGAACCTCAGTTTTGCTATTGTAAATGGGGATAATGATACTTTATTGTATGAGAATTAAATGAGATGATTCATAAGACCTGTACAGCACTATATCTAGAACTTAGTAGCACTTAATAAATGTTAGTTATTATCTTCCATGAGGTAATATCTGTTTTTCCTTCCTCATTGGAGGAGACAAATAAATTGAAACTGGAACAGTATAGAAAGGGAAGGCTTTTCCCAGTCACCTTAGATAATGGTGTAGACTGAAAAATAGAAGTAGGAAAGCTTGTCTACACTTCAGGARGTGAAAGCCCAAACCAGGTAGGTAGTCATGAGAATCATGTAAAATGAGTCAGTTTGAGAGTGAGTCTGAAAATCAGTAACACTGATGACTCTCTGAGGAGACAACAGAGAGAGGAAAGATAAGGTTGATTAAAGTTTCTCAATCTCAAGAAGAGAGAGGTTGGTGGCTCTCTTTTTCTTTCTTTCTTTCTTTCTTTTTGGKACTGGAGACTGAACCCAGGAGCTTTACCTCTGAGCTACATCCCTAACCCTTTTTATTTTTTATTTTTGAGATAGGTTCTGGCAGAGTTGCTTATGGCCTTGCTAAATTGCTGAGGTTGGCCTCAAACTTGCCATCCTCCTGCCTTAGCCTCCCAAGTTGCTGGGATCACAGGCATGTACCACTGTGCCTAGGATCACAGGCATGTACTACTGTTAGTTATTTCCAACATAAGATTGAAGAGTTTGGGCATGTTCCATTTAATTTGATAGCAGGATATTCAAGTGGGGAATCTCCCTAAGGCAACTGGATATACAGAATGGGGCTGGTAATGTAGCTCAGTGGTAGAGCTTTTGCCTAGCATGCACCAGGCCCTGGGTTCAATCCCTAGTACTGCCCCCCCCCCAATAAAAAAGGATGCTGTTCAAATTGGAAGTTGAGTTTAATATATATTAGGGAAAGAGAAAGTAGTTCAGGATATAGAGATGTGGAATGCAAAGACTTGGAGAGTGAACAATATCAGTGCTTGGGAGAAGTACAAAATTTAGGAGCCGGTATGTTTTGGTGCTAGAGATCAACCCAGGGCCTCAAGCAAGCTAGGCAAGCAGTCCATCACTGTGATACACCTCCAATTCTTGGAGATTTTTTTTTTGCCATGTATATGTTTTCCACTTTGTTTTTATTAAATCTGTTTTTCTCCTTAGAATATGGTCAAGCAGAAAGCCTTGCGGGTTTTAAAGCAAAAGCGGATGTAAGTTATGTACATAATCTCCTACTCTTTAGCAGGTTTAATCAAAATGGTTTTCTGTTCCTTCAGGTTTCATACCATTTTTCAAGGCATTCTTTATTTAATTACAAGCTTTATTGACATATAATTAAATATGGTTAGCTTGGGTTTCCCCTTTACTTATTCAGCAACATCTGTTGTAACGTGGTCTAAATAAAACTTTTTGTTATGATAGAGAAGTTCCATATCTGTGTGTCCAGTTCAGTAATTATTAGTCTCTTGTGGCTGTGGGCACTTGAAATATGACTAGGCTAGTATGACTCAGGAACTGAAGTTTTAATTTTATTTAATTTTAATACTTTAAGTAGCTGTATGTGGCTAATGACTATTAATTTGGACTGACCAGACCTGTAAAGTTCTACCATTATTTAGTTAGGATGCCTTTTTTTTGTTTTGTTTGTTTATAAAGATAGGAATGCTGACTATTTGTTTCCTCTCACCAAAATAKATTGAAAAGTCTTTATTTTTTTGTTTTAAGTGACTATCACAGAATTTGAGCAGAACCCAAGTAGTATCTTTGGTTTTTTACTGTGGACTGTTCAGCTGATGAAAATGTTTGCAGAGTTGTAGATATCAGACATAATCAGCTAACAGGGAACCAGAAAAWTTTTTTGATACCTTTTATTCCAATTTTTGTTTGTTTGGTACTGGGACTTGAACTCAGGGGCATTTTAAGACAGGGTCTCACTAAAATGCTAAGGTTGGCCTCCAACTTGGGATCCTCTTGCTTCAGCCTCCGAAATCACTGGGATTCCAGGCATGAGCCACCATGCCTGCAATTTTAAAGTGACATATCACACATTAGATGCCATCTTCTTCTTTTTAGATTACATTTGAAAGGAAAACTATAATGCAAGTTTTGTTTTTTGTTATAAAAGGAATATGTGTTCATTTAGAAACTTGGAAAATACATAACATGAGCAGAAGAAAGAATATTTACTTAGATTTCTATTAATGAAAATAATAGAATGCTAATAATGTCTTCTAGTCTCTCTTTGTATATACGTGGCATGTGTGCATATAATTTTYTAGAGGAAAACTGAAACTACGTAGGATTATATAAGTCATCCTTTTCTACTTAATGTTATATTTCAGGTATTTCCCTGTCCTTTTAAACTTTATATACGTGTGTGTGTGTGTGTCTATATATTTTTTTTTTCCCCATCCTGGAAATTGAATTCAGGGGCATTTTGACCATTTCTTCCTTTGTCCTTTTTTTAAATTTTGAGACAGGGTCTTACTAAGTTGCTGAGGCTGGCCTCAAACTTAATCCTCCTGCCTTAGCTCCTCAGTTGCTTGAATTATGGGTGTGCATCACCATGCTCAGGGGATGAAACTTAATAATAGAGTCATACTCTTCTTCCTTTTGCCTGCCCCATGAATTAACAAATTTCCTTCTGATTGGATAGTTACAAATACTGTATAAAGACCATAGTGACATAAGTCTTTGAGGTGGTATCAGTTTGATATAAAACTTTATTTTAATGAAATATCTTAAACATCAGATATTAAGTTAGTTGGACAACCTAATTATGGGTACAAGATTAATAAAATATCCTCAAGGAATTTAGTCTATTGGAAAAACATTTAGCTACATGTATGGAGAACCTCAAAAACAGGCTTGCCCTTTGCTCTAAGAGATCTACTTCTGAGAATTTTTCATAGGAAAATTTTTTTTTGGTGCCAGGGGTTGAATCTAGGGGTGCTAGACCACTGAGTCACATCCCCAATCCTTTTATTGTTTTATTTTAAGACAAGGTCTTGTTCAGTTGCCTAGAACCTCACTAAGTTGCTGAAGCTGGCTTTGAACTTGCAATCTTCCTGCCTCACCCTTCCCAAGTCATTGGAATGACCACACCCAACTCATAGGAAATAATTATGAACACACATTTTAAGATATATAGTAACACTGGATAAAGTAAATGCTATCATGTTAAATAGAAAATAGTGTTATAACTAAAAATGACTGGAGGGATCCATTTTTTTTAATAGTCCTATTTTTTTTCAATATGTATTATAAATTAGGTAAAAACATTACCAGCACATCAAACCACTAATTTACAATAATAATATAAATTCTCTTTCCTAAAATGTTAAGGGCATATCTCTGTCATATACAAAATATCTATTACATAGAAAATTAAATAAACATGTGCACACACATCAAACAGCTTAGAAATAGGGTATTATRAATAACTATTTGTGCCCCTGTATATCTTAGAGATCAATTTTTAAGCATTTTGATCCCACCAAATCTTTTCTTTTAAGATCATAGTGTTAGGAATACTTTCTTCCTGAGAATTTCTATCTGACTCATTTTTTACGTTTCTCAATTGACTCTAAAAAAAGGTATGAGCAACAGCGGGACAACCTCGCCCAACAGTCCTTTAACATGGAACAAGCCAATTACACCATCCAGTCACTGAAGGATACCAAAACTACGGTAATCCCAAATCACCTTGTTTTGTGTGATTTTATTGTTTTACTCTTAAGCTTTTTTCCCTGTTTATGTTTTGTTTTGTTTCGTTTCTCATAGTTTTTAAAAGATAGTTAAGACACTGGGTTTTGTTCTACTTTTTTTTTTTTAGGTTGACGCTATGAAACTGGGAGTAAAGGAAATGAAGAAGGCATACAAGGAAGTGAAAATTGACCAGATTGAGGTGAGATATATACTAGCTTCTGCAAGAATGTATATTAGTTTTTGAAAGGATCCAAATGAATGCTTATGTGATGGGCATAGGACAGAAAAGGGATTGAAATGGATTGTAATCTTAGGTCTGCCATTTCCTAATAGAATAACTTAAGGAAATAATACCAAGTTTTTAGTTTCCTTATTATTACAAATATTCTAATACTACATACAGTTACTATGCAGGTGAAATAATTGAGAAAGTCTATCTACTCACACAATGCCTGGTACATAATAAGCATCCAGTAGTTACTTACAACTCAAATAGTTTTAGTTTGTTTCTTCAGTTGTGAAGTTGCAACATTACTACCTATGTCCCAGTATTGTCATAAAGGTTAAATGAATATATGTGTATAAAGTGCTGAATACAATTTCTGGAATAGATTTGGTTTCCTTTGCAGTAAGTCTCTTCACATTTTAATAAGTCATTAGTTCCTTAATGTGAACATTTCTTCTTGGGATTAGGTTTTGTGCCCTCAAGCCTGGCTGCACTCAACTGTCAAGTGAACAGCCCAGATGGCAAGATAGATAGCAGAGGGAGGGAGTGGTGACTTAAGGGAAGAAAGAGGCTTTTTTTTCTGCATGTGTAATAGTGTCCTTTACCTTTACCTTTTGACCAGAATGTCTTTTCCCCTTTTGGCAGGGACTTGATTTTGTTCACTATTGTATCTGCAGTGTCTAGAACAATGTTTGGCCATAGTTGGAGCCCAGAAAGTATTTGATGGTAGATGAGTGGATGAATAGGAGTCTGTTAAAGGAGAAGCAGCATTACTGCCCCATTCTAACAGTGTTTGAGTGAGCAGTTACTATGTCCTAGGCATTTTACTGCCTCCACATAGGTATTCTCTGGCAGTTCCAGTCTTTCAGAGTGAAAGCATTCCTCCTCTGTCTTACTTCTTTCCAGTACCCTTTAGACTGCCCTTAACCGTTTCAAACGGTCCACAAGTTTCTACTCACATGAAGTTCAGCTTCATGATATTTTTCTGGAAATTCACTGAGAAAATGTTCTGTAAATGCTTGTCTTATTTGTATAATACCATTTGGTAACAGAATATAAAATGCTATTTTATTTTCTACTTTTAGGGCTTCTTGTTTTAATTAGAACTATTTAATATGGCCAGGCATGATGGTGCATGGTGGTGCACACCTGTAATTCCAGCAACTTGGGAGGCTAAGGCAGGAGGATTGCAATTCAAGGCCAGCTCCAGTAACTTAGTGAGAGCCTAAGCAACTTAGCAAGACTCTGTTTCAAAATTAAAGAAATAAAAAATAAAAGATGTAACTCAGTGGTAAAGCACCCCTGGGTTAAAATAAATAAATAAATAAATAAATATTTAATAGGATCAAAAGAGAAACTTTGGTCAGTCTAAGTTTTTTTCTGTCTCTCTCCATCTTTCATCTGTGGTTGTCTATCTGTCTCCCTCACCTAATTATCCTTTTTTGTCCCCTTATAGATTGCCAGCATGAGTAGTAAAGAGCTTAGCTTGGGAGTATATGTATATGTGTCTTTTGACAAGGCTATATAATTTGAATTTCTTTGATTCATTTTTCCAAATATTTTACTTGTAAAACATTTTCATTGTTCAGTTGCTCTCATTTTTTATTTTGCCTTGCAGAGGAAGGAGTTGTTTTTTTTTTTTTAATCCCTTTCACATTTTAGTTTCTGTACATCAGTGCATCAAAGTTCTTTATAGTTTAGTGCTATCAATTAAAAAAAAAAATTGTACCAGGGATTGAACCCAGAAGCATTTAACCAC